ATAAAATTGTCCAAAGAACGTGTTTGTTAAATATTAAATCAAGATTTAAGCATGAGAAATCTGTCAGCGTATTGGGTGCCGCATTTGCCAACGTTAGATGAAAAACGTGTTCGAATGAACATTTCCTACGCTTTTTTGGCGCAGTTTAGGAGCAATTAATCTAAGTTTTGGCTCCGAATAATTACTGTGGATGAAACTTCGATGCACTATTATACACCCGAAATAAAAATATAGTCAAAACAGTGGACTGCAAAGGGAAAACCGGCTCCAAAAAAAGCAATAACTGTTTTTTCGGCTGGAAAAGTGATTGTGTGGCTGTTTTTTTGGAATAGTCATAGAGTTATCTTAATCGACTATCTTCAAAAAGGAAAAACCACTACAGGAGCATACCATGCATCATTTCAATTTCACAAAAGAAAATCCTGTTTCACTATGACTACGCGCCGTCTCAAACCTCAGCGAAAATCCCCCAATTACGGTTTGAAATGCTTGATCATCCGACTTACTCACCAGATCTAGCGCCAGGCGACTTCTTTTTGTTCCCTCATCTAAAAATTGCGCTACAGAAATTTTCACCAAAGGAGAAGGCAATCACCTTCTTGATGAATTAATTTACAGAGAAAACATAGAGTACAATTTGAACGGGTTAGAGAGATGGGAACATCGCTGGGAGAAATGTGCAGAGTAACAAGGAGACTATGTAGAAAAATAAAAATAAATTTTAAGAAAAAATCTCTTGTATCTTTGTTAGGTCAGAAACTTTTCAGACCACCCACTTAGAAATCATGGGCATCTTATAAAAATAAGAATATACTCCTCATATAAATTAGGCCGGGACTGAAATGATGCAAATCTAAATATTTTATTATGTTATTTTATGTACCTTATAATATTTAATTATTTGTAGAAAAATAGGTTCAGTATACGTAGACACGCCTTCAATTTTACCCTGGTATAAACAAAGCTACATATTATTATTATACTATAAATAATAAATATAATATTAAGTTTCTAGGTACAAAATATTAGAGAGTCAGTTACATTATTATTTAACTAAGCCTCTAATATTTCGTACTAACAATAAACGTAATATTTCGACTATTGTCTAAGAGGTCGGTTTGACCGGAATGGCTTTTAGTACTGCTAGTGATTAATTCTTGACAAAAAACCCAATAACCTATCAGGCATTACCCAGATTTCGGATATGAACAGTAATCACGCTTGCGGCCAATACGGGAACCACGAGGCAGTCAACTCGACGGTACTTTTTGTTTAATACTTCTTCCTCTTTGTCACGAGACGACAACTCCTCCTCTATAAGGCCAATGTAAGGTGAAGAAACCCCAGCAGTGGATCTGGTCCATGGCTTTTTTTTTATAAAACTGAGGTGACAATGTATTTACGTAATTAATAGAATCAGGCGTTACTTTCCGGAAGTCCATTATATTAAAGTTGGTAAAAAATTACTTCGCGTATATCCGCTCGAATTTTTTACCAACTTTAATGTACCTACTTACAATACATATGATGCTACGCTGTTTCTTCTGCATATCAATTATGTGATGCAAACCGGTAACATTAATTGCTATGCGGATAACAGCACTGGTGATGCTCTATACACCGGTCGTGCCAAAATTTCTCAAGAAAACGTCGACGAGTACCGGAACAAACTTGTGTCTAAAGTCGTGTCTTTACTGAACAAAGTCTCGGATTGGGGGCGACTAAATCTAGTCCACTTTAATCCTCAGAAGACACAAGTTTGCGCGTTTACCGCTCAAAAGAACCCCTTTGTCGTATCTCCTCAGTTTCAAGGCACTCCCCTTGTTGCCTCAGTCAGTACCGGAATTCTCGGCGTCGACATATCGAGTAATGTGCAGTTTCGTGATTACTTGGAAGAGAAGGCCAAATTGGCATCTACAAAGCTTGGCATTCTCAGAAGAGCGGGACAATATTTCATGCCGGCACAACGCCTGCAACTTTACAAGGGGCAGGTTTGGCCTCACATCGAATACTGTTCCCAACTCTGGGCTGGGATACCCCAGTGCCAACTCCTTTCACTTGACCGCAGCGAGCGCAGAGCGGCTCGAATCGTCGACGACCAAGTCCTTTCCGATCGGCTCGATTCATTGGCGCTGCGAAGAGATGTTGCATCCCTTTGCATTTTCTTTCGCATTTACCCGGGGAGTGCCCTGAGAAATTGTTGTTCACGAACGCACATTGCGGCAGAATTCCCGATACCATTCACAATCTGGATGATGAGCGATTCACCACTGTGCGATCCAGAAGATGTTTTCTTCCTCGCACAACTTCCTCGTGGAATCGATTACCACCTGCGACTTTTTCCGAACCGATACAGCTTAGGGACCTTCAAGAAAATAGCCTACTCCTTTTATCTGATGGTAAGTGACTACCGCTGCCCATGAACAGCTGCAACACCAGGTAGGGAATCGCAGATGCGTTGCTGGCCTTTTAAAAAGGAGTACGCTCTTTTCTTGAAGGTCCCTAAGTCGTATCGATCCGGAGAAATCGCTGATGATAATCGATTCCACAAGGAAGTCGTGCGAGGAAGAAAACATCTTCTAAATCGCACAGTGGTGGACCGCCAATCATCCAGATGGTGTGGATGGTATCGGGAGTTCTGCCGCGTAATGTTAATTGCAATTTTAAATGCTGATTTACCACATGCTTGACGGTCAAGGAAAACATCGTCAGAAAACCTGCATGTCTGAGAAATAAGAAACAAAATTTCGAAGACATGTGAAGTTCGCCAATTCGCATTGGGGCAGCGCGGTGGACAGCAAATCAGCAGTGGGACGTGTGTATAGACTGTAACTTTAACTTTATGATCAATGTAGTCGAAGGCAAATTAATACGCATTATTAAGGATAACTCTAAAAGTACTGGTCAGACTTTGATTAAATTTATATGGGGCCACTTGAAAAGCACCAGCTTTCAAATAAAAAAGAATCATCGAAATCGGTTCACCTATAAAAAAAAGTGACGTAACATCTAAAAAATACAATTGAATTCAGTTCCTCCTCCTTTTTTGAATTCGGTTAAAATTAACTTAAAGATACTGTAATATGTCTATTCGATTCGAATTCTTAGTTTACGACTAATGTACTTGGCCAGTAAAATAATATTTCAGAAATTTTATTTTGTGATTCTGAAAATAAATAATGCTACGAGTAAATAGATTATGTGTCTTGGTTTGCTTACCAACATTCTCATATCACTGATGTAACTCTTCATATTTAAATTATTTTCTATTGAGACAGCTCAGAATCCCGATTGTCAATTCTGAAGACAAATAAAAGCATTTACTTTTTCTTTTATAATTCATTACATATTCTTATTGAAGTAAAATCTTTGTTTTCAAAGCATTACAATCTGAATTTAATATTAGGAATGGAAATAATAAGTTATCGTAAAAGAAAACGTACCGTGTAGATACGGCGTAAGAGATCCATTACACCCTATCATCCCGTAGGTGTCGCGAGAGGCGACAGAGAGAAACCGAAATAGGAGATTGGCAGCAGAATTTCCTGATAACAAGTCAATAATATTAATAAAATTTACGGTTGCCAATCCGCCTGCCAAGTATGGTACCTATGGCAAATATCCCTATATGAGTTTCAAGTAATAATGATGGCGATGCTAAAATTTAAAAAAAAACCGTGATAAGTTTTAGATTTTTTTTATAGGATAAGGTGACAAACGATCACACAGTCCACCTGATGGTAAGTGGTTGCTATGCCTCGTAGACATATACATCTATCCTCAATAAAGAATCAAAATGCAAATACGTTATCACCCGTGAGGGCTAAGATAGAATGCCTTTTTTTCAGTAAAAAGGGCATCCGGTTCCCTATACTCACCATACGAAACACAGCAGTGTCACACAGCGCTGGTATTATGTGAGCGTGCGTCCTTCCCCGGTTGAGTCGACCCATTCGTGCTACAACTATACTACTAATATAGCTGCAGCAGCTGGCCGTGTGTTAACATACTACTTCGAGCCACTCTTGAATCCCATAGCTCAAAAACTATTAGACCTATCTACTTGCATATTTGAATACACAGAATTTTATATTTCATGAATCCGCCTATTATAGTTTTTGAGTTATTAAGGTCTAAATGATGCCATTGCTATCACTCACTTACTCATTCGTCAAAAACGCAGGCCACTTCTAGGTTACTTAAAAATTTAAAATAATACATATGCTATGATTTGAGGAACTGCTTTGGAAACCGTTTGAACATAAATCTTTTATCATCAAAGCCGACAAACCTGATCGAAGTTTGTACCGAACTTAGCTTCCTTTTCACATTTGTGTTTTGGTGGCATCTTCACTTTCGTGCACTCCCCTAACAACTAATGAAACGTGAACTGAAAAACCTTTCTATAACAATATAGATTGTTACATCCAACTATTTGTGTAATATCACACAAACACATGTGTGTATATTTCAGTATTATTACGTAGTTTATTTAAAAGCTTTTAACTTAAGAACAGCTGTTATTGTGAGTTTTGTGTCCGATCCATTATTGAGAAATGCATAAACCTTTTACAATTTGTAGAGAAAATAAGGATCATTCTTATAAATGTGCAGTTATATTACTAGGTATGTTATAATAAACTTTTTTAAAATTGAATAAAAATTTCTGAATTATGACTAAATTATATCCATTAAACTTATATTTCAGTGACTAACCTATGCTACCTTCTAAGTCTATGGACTAACACTACTCTATCTTATATTATGACCTCCTTGACTCTATCATAGACAGAATATTTGATCGATGTTTAATCTGGTACATATTAATCTCTGGTACAGATACTTACAATCAAAGAGTATATAATCACTATGTTTCACTTAGAACATAGAGCAATACGGGCCTATGACTTAAAGTCTCAAATGTCTTAGAATAAGCTTCAGTTTGACAGTGAAGACATCAATAAAATTTGATAAGTGTTTAATAAATTATTTTTTTCACAATGACTGCATTGGATGACCTACCTGATGTGGATACGTTTTTTGGACTCGATTTGAGAACCGGGTCATTTATAATCGCTGTACTTGGTATTGTACGAAATTTGTTCCTAATAATTTAACAATTAAAAATCGTCTGATAATTACCCTCATAGAAAAATATGTAGTTCATCATCATTACTAAAACAATCATAATCTAAAGATTTTTATAAAGAAAAAAAAATAGTCACTGGATTCATATCTCCTACTTTAAGTCCAAGTAAAGTAAAAGTTGTAACAGTCTACATATTATCCCATAGATGGGCACAGGCCTCGTCTCATTTCTGAAGTGTTTTTGGGGCAGTTAGTCCACGTATTACTCCAGTGCATGTTGGCGGACTTCAAATATCCTCAAAATACCTCATCACTTAGACATGCAGATCAGCACTTAAATTTAAGTAATTTCATTGAAGTTCCTCCAGTGGAGATCAAACCCTAGTTACTCGCGTAGTGTCAAATTTAGTACGAGCACTTAGATCCTGAGTTACCATGGCTCTCAGAAAAATGTATAGGCCTTCTCTTATTTCTGAAGATTTAAACAAATAATTATGTATACTGTTAAACCTATAGCGTTTGTGGACATTACATGTTTGAAAACATTTATGATTTCTCTAAATCTATAAGGTTACAAAGATACGACGTTTACCGTTTTCGATCAGCTCGTGGTAAATTTAAAATTTGAATTGTAATTTAGGGCCAAAGCCCAGCAACGAAACCCTCCAAGCATTCATTACCTTTCTTGTATAACGTCTCGATTTCTTAACTGATTTTATAATTTGTGTTAATTATTAGTGCCGTCACATATTTGATTCAATAATGAATTATTTTGATTTATTATATTTACGAGAATAATTCACATGATATAGAACTAATTTTGAAAAATTCAAAAAATTAGTTTTATTCTATGATTTTTTTAAAGATTGATATTTTAAATATTCGTTATACCCTACTAAATCCAATTTTATTTTGATTAACAAAGAGCAATTAAGACCTAAACTTTATTGTTCGTAATTTCATAAGAGCCTTGTTTCTGTAGAACATGTTCCAAGTTTGAAGCATTACATTTTATTTCCATATAGGTACCAACCCACGGGCTGCGTACAAACTTGCGATATGTACAAGGAAATTATTGGAGAAACTTTTTCGTAATATAGTAATTTACAAGAGCTAAATTTACATTTAAAATAAGCCGACTTCAAAGAACTAAAAAGAATAAAATAATTTATACAAATAAATAAAATTGAAGTGTCTGTTTGTAATGTCAAAATAACGGCTTTTTACTACATGCATATGAAAGTATATACGGTACTTAGAACAAAAACACCATTTTTAAAATTTATGTCTACCTGTCTGTTTGTTCCGGCTATTCTTCGAAATGGCTGGACCGATTTTGACCTGACTTTCACGGCAGGTAACTGATTTTATAAGAAGTAACTTAGGCTACTTTTATTTTAGAAAAATAATTAAGGTTCCGCGCAAAAAAATTAAAACCCACGAAATCCAATCGTAATAAATTAAACACGGGCGAAGTCGCGGGTAAATAAATAAATCGCCCTAACTGACGACGATGACGACAAACGACGACGACGATGCTACCACTGTACAAGGACTCAAGCGACCTTGATTTTCCTCATACGGTCAACAGTAAATAACCACGTCTCAGATCCATAAGTCATCACTGGCAACACACACTAATTGTACAATCTCGTTTTCAAGTTTTGAGGTATACCTGACGAAATGTTGTAATCTCCCGAACGTTGCCCAGCGGAGTTGAATCCGTCGATTGACCTCTCAAGTGTGACATTAATACAGTAAAATATTTATCATGGTTTTCGTGATAAATATTTTACTGAACTACTTTAAATTATTAAATTAGTCTGCTGTTTCAGGTGCACCCCATGGCGTTTGGATGCTCTATTTTTATGCCTCTGAGCTATCTGCTCGTTACAATTTGGATTCTAGTCGCTTTGTTTTTTGCTGCAAGTATAGCTTTGTTTTGTGGTCTCAGAACGGTATGTGATTGTGGTATGAATTTATAATCTAGAATAATAAGAATGATGTCCACCAGACCAAAATCAATTCCCTCAATCTCATAATCACTTGAGACTACAATCCGACACGACCGGATTGAAATCAGGTACGGGGCCAACGGCATTACGTAGTTCCCGAGATAAGGTGTTGAAACATCGTCAAATTTCTGACTATGGGGCACTAAATATGTATATAAAATTTCTTGATAGACAAATCCAAAACTAATTTTGCCCGGGATTCGAGCTCGGAACCACACGATCAATCGCACATACGACAAACAGACCAACGAAGTAATCATAATATAGAATGTAGTATTCTCTTCAAATTTTTGAAATAAAAGTGCATGGGAAAGTTTTGAAGAAAAATATAGGATAAAAAATAATGATAGGCCGTAATTATGATGATAATGGGAATCCAAATCTGATAGACATTATTTGTCCATTTTTTTCATTAGTGAAAACGAAAAGAATTTAGTATGTATAAACTCTGAAACTGTTATAGTTAGGAAGTCTCATGTTGTTTTGATTGTATTTGATGACTAAACACACGACAATTAAACATAATGTTATAAACTTGCGACCAAGTGAACAGAATACGTGTTAGAGCCATGCTGCAGCTATATTTTAGTTGTAGCACGAATGAGTAGGCACGATCGAGGAAGGAGTACGTTCGCACATAATATCAGCGTGATATAGCAGCTTAATATTGCTGTCTTTCGTATGGTGAGTGTTGGAAACCAGATACCCTATTTACTAAAAACATCATATTCCTCAGGGATAACAACGTGTCTGCATTTTGATTTTTAATCGAGGATAGGTGTAGGTGTCTATGAGCTACAGCATCCACTTACCATCGGGTGACTGTGTGATTTGTCACCCTTATTCTATAAAAAAAGACATGTGAATTACCTTTATAACCTCTGATTTAACAGAAATGCTGATATTTAATTATGCTATTTTTATTTTTGTTTTTGCACGCCGAGCCCAGCATCAATAGTATATTTAAGATAAATTACAGTACAGCTACTGGAAATGCAATTTAAGTTATGCAAAAGTCGTCCAAAAGTCCTTCTACAGTCCCCAGGATATCTCTGCTCACTCTGAAAAATGCTTGCTGCTAAACAAGTACAAATTACATCAGCATTTGCAAGTATTTCGTGGTACCGGCAAGAATCAGACAAATAATAAAATTTATGCCGAACGCCCTACTTCAGAGAGCCAAAACAGAATGGTATTGAACATGTTTGTAAAATAATTTCAGAATGATGTCCTCCTTTGCACCATTTGGATTTGGTACGCTGTGATATTTGTGGTGCTAATGTTGATGATGATGATTCTTCTGACTTTGGTCTACACCTCACGAAGACAAAGAATCAGAGTTTTTGTCGTAATTTTAGGAATGCTGTGGTATATTTGTGAGTTTGTTTATGATTATATAGTATGTTACGATCATGATTTCCTGGTCTATTTTGAATACAGTGACCAAATATTTTGATAACATTTCTTCTATAGCCGGTAAAAGTCCAGTGTTGTAAGCTTTGTTGGAAAGATTTACAATAATCGTACGTTTTTCATAATCGTCAATCACAGTACCAAACATCTCGTATATTAGACGCTGCACCCCGTCACAGGGTTGGTTGTTTTATATTTCACAAATATGGGATAATCATACCACCATCTATTGAAAACCATCAGATCTTTATAATATTTCTCATGGTCACCTCTTATGAACCTTCGGGAAGACATTATTATGGGCTGACTGCGTCGTTGGTCCAATGCTGGTTAGTGCGACTGCGTGAGGTCTCTGGTTTGAATCCGGGTCGGATCGAAATCAGTTAGTGGGTTTTATAATACGAAATTCTCAGTAGCAGTCTAGAATCAGGTAGATGGCACTATTTTGGTCGTGCCTCGGAAAGCACTTAGAGCCATGGATCTCGCGCCTGATCTCTCCGTAAGTGTCGGATTGCCGTTCCATTGGACTATGGGAATGAGGGACTATAGGGAGCACTTGTGCTTGCGTATTCTGAGCAGATGGCTAGCCTCCGTTGAGACTGGTCACCATATTTGAACTTTCTTGTTAAATTTGGATTTATAATGGTGTTTGACATAAATATTTACTATTACAAATTGACAATAGCTATAGCGTTCAAATGGCTTATTTTTTAGCAATAAAACAGTTTTGTTTTTATTTTTCAGTATCGATTTACTTCATCCTCGTTGTCAACAGTTATAGAAAACAGCTGGTGAAAGGTCACAGCTTAGACGAAAAAATTACTGATAAAATATAGCTTTAAATTAAATTATAATTTGAAGGTAAATAAATATTAAACAAGAAACGTTACTGTAGTCTTTTTTTTGTATAGTTAGTTATATTTAGTTTTAAAGTTCTTCTTTTAAAGAGTTTTGGTAACATCTAACATGGAACAGTGTATTGATTGCACTAGACTGTTTCATTTTATATTTACTTGCTAATATATTCATAGCGTTAGGCTCATGTCCTCCAGACCGAATTTCAGCCACAGCGACTCACAGCGGATTTCAGTCTCAACGGCAACTAACGATGGACGGGATTATAGTATCCGGGTGTATGCGCAAGTCTACACCTTCACTCTCATAGTCCAATGGGGCGGCAACCCGACACGGCAAGATGGAGTTCAGGTGCAGGAACAACAGCTTTGTATTCTTTTCGAGACACGGGGGTGAAACATTGCCAAGTCCAGGCTATTACTGAGAATTTTTATACAGGAAAACTAATAACTGAATTTAGCCCGGCCTGGGCTTCGAACCCAGTGCCTAATAATCAGCAATCGCGTTTTCGTAATTAAGACCATGTATTACAGCATATTCTCGATACATTAAAGAAAATATTTTGTATTGTTTACTCTTAATTTAATTTTATATATTGAATACAATCACACAATAATTTGGTTTGAAAACGAGGTTAATGCTGATTCTGAAAATATTTGAAGATTGTTTAATTCAAAATTTTTATAGGATGGTTTTATTTATGAAACCAATTGACCCCCATTTAACCTTCAAATGACGTCATAGAGTAGGCTTTATGAAGGGAGGTAAAGATTTTGTTTCAAAAATAAAAATATCAATTGTTTACATATTGGTAATTTTATTGATTCAAAATAACCCTTGCGTTCACCAATGCTCTGCTACGAGGGACTGACAACCTAAAGTTTGGATTTATGTTATATATTATCTACCAGTCTGTGCGAATTAATTAGGCAAATTATAATACCTTTCACCAATAGGCTACTCGATCATCGAATGCAGTACCAAATCATAACAAAATACGCGAAAACATTGTGTTTGGTAAATAGAAACATGTCTTATATGTTACTTTTTCTATACTTATAAGATAGCGTGGGTACCTTCAGCCTTGTTTATGAAATCATTTCGAATGATATAAACAATTTGCTACTGTTTAACAAAAATAATTTAAATTAAACGAAAAAAGAAAAATAAAATTGTTTATTACATATTGAAAAAAAGAAAACAACGCTTTAAATCTTTTCTCATACCAAATTTTAAATTTTTTATACAACAAGGCATTGCTATCTCAAACGTCTTTACAGGTGTAAATAAACTTATAAGCATGTTAAACAAAACTTATACTAAAATAAAATAAAAAATAAACATTAAAATATTAGATGCACATTTATCACATTAAGTATTAAGTTTTTTTTTTAAATGAAATACAATTATAGGACATTAAATAATGGTCGAACCGATAAGAGAAAAAAATCAAGTGTTGCTTAAACATACTAATACCCTATATTGTGAACTCATGCGGTATTAAGATTTATAGCTTAGTTATACTTATTAATCTCATAAAAATAGTGCAGCCTAGTATTTTGAAATACATATTTATGCCCCAAGATAAGGAGCAAGTGTAGAGAGTGGATCCAACGTGAAACATATGCAGGTGGTGCATGATCCGTCTACGATCGAAACGCTAACAACTTCCGATTCAAATATGACCTGGCAGATGGCGTTCGTCAAGGAGTGATTCACTCGTCGTCTGTTTAGGCATAGCTTGCAAGTGAGCAGATTCGGTTACGGTAACTTAGAGTTAATAAGAAAGCATGTAATATTAAAAAGTACATATATGAAGTCTCAACTTCTTGAAGTGAGGAAATGCGTGTCGGTCGTCAGAAACGTCGAGGTACGACTAACATTCATCTCAAATATGCATATCGGATCCAAAATACCTAGGTGAGTATCATCATTGGGTGTAAAATGATTGGTACAGCGATCATGCAGTTTGTCAAGCGTGGCGATTACAAAAAGTACTCCCTACTAGGCACATCATATGTGATCTTCCCTACCATAAATGCAGTTTAACAGAGAGCGGGCTAATAAAAGATGTATTAGTTTCAAAGTAAATATTCATCAGTTTCAGTAGTACTATATTTTATTTAGTCATTTAATCCCTGAAGTTCAGACATTGACGACAAGACACAAGTACACGAAAAATTATAATATGCCTTTCTTCAGTTCTTGCCGGTGTCCAAGCACGATAAAAATTAAATATGCAATTACAGCTGAAATGTAATTAAAAAAACATTCAAATAAGAACAATATAAAAATTACGTACATATCTTATATTAATAGCCAATATTAATAGCTATGCGCTCGCTGTAAATTTTACAGCACGCGAGCAACTCGGGTTAGATCTCTGCCGGCACCAATGATATTACGAGCTCTGCGGTGATGGAAAACATCGTGAGAAAACCTGCATGTCTGAACAATAAGAAATCAAAATATTTCAAAGACATGTGAAGTTCACGAACACGCATTGAGACAGCGCGGCGTACATTTCGATGCCCTAATACCGTCTCCAAAATGAGAGGAGACCTGTGCCCAGCAATGGCATGTATAGACTTTAATATATTATATTATATTAATACACTACCATAATTATTACAAATCTATCCGCTATCCTCCTCATTGATTACCATTTTTGGCGTTCGATTGACTAGTTAACCCCAAAATTTCCAAGTCATGATCCTCACGGGCACAATTATTCTAAGCCTATCGTTTAGTAATCTTCTGCCATTCTCCATCTTTATTCAATCTATACTCATATTCATGGTTCATGGATATCTGAATCTATCTTCTATTCAAATTGCAGATGTATTGTCACTCCCGGGGACTAATATTAAATATTCACCCTACAAAACACAGCAGAATTGTGTTGCTTTTTTACGCTGGAATGTTGTATGAGAGTGTAAAAAATCCGTTTGGGCCAAGAAAAATAACCCTAAACAACATACCTAGCGTGTATCCAATACAGCAATTTTCACTAAAATTCATGCAGTGACGAGCACAATCTTAATAAATCAGGACACGAAAATAAATAATTTGTCTGATATTGTAAGTACAAATTTCAACCAACGCGTTACTGATTTGAGATCCACAGAGCTTAGCTGTTCTACTGTTTTGTTGTTTACTTTCTTACGTTCTTCTTCTTCTTCTTCTTCTACCTAGCGTTTATCCCGGTTGCTCATCCCGCCCAGCGCGGGAGAACCCAGGGTCCGCTTTCCGACACTTCCTCCTCCACTTTGCCCGGTCTTCGGCGTCCCTCACAACTAGCCCATTGGCGCGCATGTCAAGCCAGCGTTTCTTGGGCCGTCCTCTACTCCTGGCACCAGGTAAGGTCATGTCCAGGCATTTGTTTCCCACGTAGCTTGCTGGTCGTCGTAAGACGTGGCCGTACCAGCGGAAGCGACTTTCCTGCAGCTTGTCAGAAATGTCACGGACATGGAGGCTGCCGCGAATGTATGTATTCCGTACACGGTCTTTCCGTGTGACGCCACACATCCACCGCAGCATGTTCATCTCCCTGACATGCAACAACTGCCGGTGTCGCTCCAGCACCGGCCACGCCTCACTGCCGTACGTAAGGACAGGCCTTATGATGGTCTTATAGACCTGTCCCTTCAGCTTGACCGGCATTTTGGGGTCACAAATGACACCCGTCACCTCGCGCCATTTCGCCCAAGCCGCTGATATACGGGCCTTGATGTCGCGATCGATGTCACCGGACGCATCAAGCACAGATCCAAGGTACCTGAAGTTGTCCGTGCGCTCGACGGTGTCGTCGCCTATGCGGAGAGACGTCGGATCTGTGCTGTTGCAGGCCATATACTCCGTCTTCGCCACGTTTAGCTTCAGCCCGCCGTTCTCAAGCGCCTCCCTCCATGCGTGCACGCGTCTGGTGAGCCGTCCTTTGTCCTCATCTACCAGTGCGATATCATCAGCGTACATAAGCAGCCAAGGCTGCGGTAGTTTCTGTACGCTGGCTGACAGTTCGTCTAATATCACACTGAAGAGATAGGGGCTTAAGACGGAGCCCTGATGCACGCCTATGGTTATGGGGAAGGGGGTGGTATCACCAACAGCGGTCCTGACTATTGAATCGGAGTTGCGGTACATGTCACGTACGATTTCCACGTAGGTCTCTGGTACCAACTTCGACCGCAACGCCCACCAGATCATCTCCCTAGGAACACAGTCAAAGGCCTTCTGCAGGTCTAGGAATAAAAAATGCAGAGGCATATTCTTTTCCCTGTGCTTCTCCATGAGGATCCTTAGGGCGAATATAGGGTCCATGGTACCGCGTCCTGGTTGGAAACCGTACTGGAAGTCCGACACTGTACACTCCTGTCGGATCCTGGCGTCAATAATGCGCTCGAAGAGCTTCATGGTGTGTGACATCACCTTTATACCGCGGTAATTACCGCAATCCTGAACGGACCCTTTACCCTTGTGGACCGGCGTTATTATACTAAGCCGCCACTGATCGGGCATTATTCGGTCGCTCAGGATTCTATTATAAAGGTTAGTAAGAATGCACACACCACGAGCCCCCAGCGCTTTCCACGCTTCAATTGGCATTTACTTTCTTACGTTACTGCACTTTAATATTGAATTTTTGATTTTAAAACAAAAGAAAAACGATCTTACAGTTGATCACTAAATAGAGTGCCCTAGTACTGAGGACAGATCGAATTCCACCCACATTCTTTTATTTAGGTCGATCTATGGTCAAATCTATGGATATATCTATATTAAATTGCATAATAATTTTACTTACCAACGGCTATTGGTCCAAATATAAAAGACAGTATTCCAGCAGTCTTGTTCACTTCTAAATGATATAGATAAATGAAAACAATTAACAATATAAACGTTTGTATCAGCCAAAAGGTCGTTACGACGACCCAAGCAAGCATAACCGAAGGTTTGCCCTGTGATTGTAGAAAATAAAGTT